ATGATGATGATGATGATGATGATGATGATGATGATGATGATGATGATGATGATGATGATGATGATGATGATGATGATGATGATGATGATGGTTGTGGTGATGATGATGATGATATGATGAAGAGGAGGACGATCCATTGTTGAGGTGTTTAGAGCCGTTCGCACGGGACCGAAGCACCTTGCGCCAGCGCGGCCCCTGAGGGCCGTGGCAGTCCCCGGGCGAGGGCGACGCGGAGAAGGCCGAACGAGGGCTTTATGTGCAGGAGAAGGGGGTTCTGTCGCTACCTGGCTCAAGCGACAAGATCACGAACGACCTGGAAAACATCACGAAGATCTGGCGGGTCTCTGGCCCCTCCGCACGCGTCTTCATGGCGCACGCCTGCCTGCTCCGCCCGCGGACGCGGCAGTCGGCGTCCATCCGTCTTTCACTCCATCCTGGCTCAAGCTGGCCGACTCAGGAGAGCTTCGGCGGGGCGGGGGCAGCAACAACGGGCTCGGGCCTGCCTCTAGCACACCCCGAAGCGCTTCGCGCTCTGAGGGCGCTCGGGCTGTCTGCGGCCCTCCCTCGGCCACGCGCGGAGGGGGGTAGGTGGAGGGGGGAAGGCTTCTTAGAAGCACCCCTGCTTCTCAGAAGCCTTCCCTCCTCCCCCTGCCCACCTTTGCGCGCCGCCAGAAGGGGGAGAGGTGCGGTGAAGATGCCGAAGCACGACCACCTTGGCCTCGGGAGGGGCTCTGGTAGTCGGGCCGCTCCTGAGGTTCAGGTCGGGGAGCCTATGCGTGGCCGAGGCTCGCCGGGTCCAGAACAGCCCCGTCGTCGCTCATTCAGCGCTCCCTCTGGTAGCGCGATGAGTGCACGGCGGGCCAGCTTGCAGAACGACGGCCCCCGGCGTCCCCCACTGCCACCCCCGCCTGGCGAGCCACGTGGCCGCGTAATGCGTGTCCCAGTAGTCGCCAAGGACGGCCCTGCGCGCAGCCTCGTCCAGGGCCGCGAAGCGAGCCCTGACCGTAGCATCGTCGGCTCAAGGCCGCCCAGCAGACGAGGACTCAGGCGCAGCCTCCAGACCAGCACCGCCAACAGGATCAGCCGCAGCAGCTGCCACCCTAGGCTTCCGCGTGGACTGCGCGCCCACTCCGCCGCGGCCATTACGAACGGGCAGACGATCAGCTCACTCGTCGTCAAGAGACTCGTCACCAAGAATGTCGAGAGCACGAAGAGGAAGTCCAGCAGCATCACCATGTTGGCCTGCAGCAGGCTCAGGACGCGGGCGGCGGCGCCAGCCGCCGCCTCGGCCCGTGGCCGCCGCCAGCCGCCCCCACCGCCGTGCGCGCGGAGTGGTTTCCTCCAGCATCGGCACTCGCATCCACGGCTGCCGCGCAAGGCGCGTCATGGCCCGCGGCACCAGCACCACAGCTGCAGCGCCCTGGCCGCTGCTGCCGCAGGGCGGGCGCAGCGTCAGGCGCAGCCGCGGGCGGCGGCGTGCGCCGGTTCCCGAAGGCCCGCCACGGCTGCGCATAGCATGCCTTCGGCGGCTCTCGGCAGCGTCACTGAGTGTCACGCTGCGGGCCCACCCGCCGCACGCGTCGCGAGGAGGGCCCCGCGGGCCGCCTCCTCGGCGTCGCGACGAGCATACCGCGGCCTGGCATGGGCGGCGCGGCGAGCGTGCCCGAACGGGGGCGCGGCCCAGCGGCGTGACGGATGAGCCGAATTGGGCATTCAGCATGAGTATGAGGATCATGAAGAGGAGGAGGAAGAGGAGGAGGAGGAGGAGAAGGAGGAGGAGGAGGAGCAGGATGAGGAGGAGGAGGAGGAGAATGAGGAGGAGGAGGAGGAGGAGGAGTAGGGTAGGAGCAGGAGGAGTAGGAGGAGGATACATAGGAGGAGGAGGAGGAGGAGGAGGAGGAGGAGGAGGAGCAGGAGGAGGAGGAGGAGGTGGAAGAGAAACAGGATGATGATACTGATGATGATGATGCTGATGATGAGAATGATGATGCTGCTGCTGCTGCTGCTGCTGATGATGATGATGATGATGATGATGATGATGATGATGATGATGATGATGATGATATTGATGATGCTGCTGCTGCTGAGCATGATGCTGATGCTGATGCTGATGCTGATGCTGATGATGATGATGATGCTGATGCTGTTGATGATGCTGATGATGCTGCTGATGATGATGCTGATGATGCTGATGTTGATGATGATGCTGATGCTGATGCTGATGTTGTTGATGATGCTACTGACGATGATGATAAGGATAATGATGATGATGCTGATGCTGAGGCTGAGGCTCATGCTGATGATGCTGATGATGCTGATGATGCTGATGATGATGACAACGATGATGACGATGATGCTGACGATGCTGCTGCTGCTGATGATGATGAGGAGGATGAGGAGGAGGAGGGAGAGGAGGAGGAGGAGAAGGAGGAGGAGGAGGAATAATAATGATAATAATAATAATAAGCGTTATACTAATACTAATCATACTGATACGAAGAAAACGAAGGGGAAGAAGAAGAATAATACTAATACTAATAATAATAAGAATAAGAAGAATCATAAGAAAACGAAGAAGAAGAGGAGGAAGATGAAGAGGGAGAAGCAGTGGGGGGGAGGAGGAGTGGAGGAGAGGAGGAGGAGGAGGAGGAGGAGGAGAAGGAGGAGGAGGACGAGGAGGAGGAGGAAGAGGAGAAGGAGGTTGAGGAGGAGGAGGAGGAGGAGGAGGGGGATGTTCATGCTGATGATGATGATGATGATGATGATGATGATGATGATGATGCTGATGATGATGATGATGATGATGATGATGATGATCATGATGAACAACATGATGATGATGATGATGAGGATGATGATGATGATGATCATGATGATGACGATGGTGATGATGATGAGGATGAGGATGAGGAGGATGAGGAGGAGGCGGAGGCGGATCAGGAGGAAGAGGAGGAGGCGAATGATGAGGATGAGGAGGAGGAGGAGGAGGAGGAGGCGGAGGCGGATGCTGATGCTGATGCTGATGCTGCTGCTGATGATGATGATGATTATGATGATGATGATGCTGATTCATCGTGCTGCTAATGGTGATGTTGTTGATGATGATGCTGCTGATGATGATGCTGATGCTGATGATGATGATGATGATGATGAGATGATGATGATGATGATGATGATGATGATGATGATGATGAAGAAGGAGGAGGAGGAGGAGGAGGAGGGAGGAGGAGGAGGAGACAAGGAAGAGGGAATATAAGGGGGTGCAGAGAATGGATCAGGAGGACGAAGAGGGTGATGATGATGAAGGTGGAGGAGGAGATGAGGAGGGAGGAAGGAGGGAGAGGAGGAGAAAAGGAGGAGAGAGGTTAGGAGTGAAGGAAGAGGATGTGGATGGGAAGGAGAGGAGGAGGAGGAGGATAGATGAGGAGGAAGGAGGAGGAGGAGGAGGAGAGAAATGAGGGGAGGAAAGGAGGATAAGAGAGGAGGAAGAGGAAGGAGATGAGGAGGAGGAGGAGGAGGAAGAAGCGGAGGATTAGGCAGAGGAGGAGTATGTTCATGAGGAGGATTATGAGATCATGAGGATCAGGAGGAGGATCAGGAGGAGGAGGAGAAGGATTACGAGGAGGAGCGGGGGGAGTACAGACCAGCTTCCTTTTATGCACTGCTCCTGTCTCTGGTCGTCCTGCCTCTCGTGTTCCTGCCCTTCCGCCTCCCCCGCTCCTGCTCCCCCCCCTCCTCCTGCTCCTCCTGCCCCGCCCACTCCTGCTTCTCCCGCGCTGTTGCCCCCTTCTTCTCCTGCTGCTCCTCCAGCTCCCCTCCTTCTCCTGGGCACGCCTCCCGGCGAGCGCGCGATCTGCCCGCCCCGCGCCCCGCCTTCGCCTCGCCGGGAGCGATACTTTCGCCTCGCTGTCGCTTCGCCGTCGCCGTCGCCGTCGCCGCCGCCGCCGCCGTCGCCGTCGCCCGCCCTGGTCGCCACCTCCGTCGCCGCCTTCGTCCTCGCCGCCGTCCCTGCCGCCGCCTCCGCCGCTTGCGCCACTCGCCCTCGGTCCGCCGCCCGCCCCCGCCCCGCCTCCGCCGCAGTGGCCGCCCGTCCCCACGGCACTCGCCGCCGTCTGCGGCGGCCGCTCGCGCCACGCGCACAGGCGAGGGGGAGAGGCTTCTGAGAAGCACCCCTGCTTCCAGGAAGCCCTGCCCCCCCGCCGCCTTGTGCGCGCCGCCAATCCGTGCTCGTGACGCCTGTTCGGCCCCGTCCCCGGGACCGGACTTCAGTCGGGCATGTCCCTCTGCAGGAGGAATATCCAAGGATAGTGAAGCAATAGTCTGGTGACGAGGTCTCGTGCTCTTTTGACTACTTCTGTTTTCCTTTCTCCCTTGTGCAAAATCCGCCTGCAGGAGGACATGCCCGGCCCGAGTCTTGACTCTTTTCACTGTGGGGTCCCCGGAAGCCCCGAATCCATCCCCCAGGACCGGTCGTCCGTCCCGGCCCCAGCGAGGGCCTCCCAGAGGCCGAAGGCTGCCAAACACCGCCTGTCGTGATCCTCCTCCTCCTCCTCCTCCTCCTCCTCCTCCTCCTCCTCCTCCTCCTCCTCCTCCTCCTCCTCCTCCTCCTCCTCCCCCCCCCGATTCTTTCACGACGCGGGCACGAGGGGCGTCCACATCTTTTGGGGGGGCCGGCAGCCCCAGACGTCCCTCGCCTCGAAGGAGGACAAGGACGGAGGTTCTCTTCGCCGTCTTCGGCCACTCCTGTGGGCGCTCGCCAGGCCCCCTGGGGCCGCCAGGAAGGGACGTGGGACGAGGAGCCCTCCCGGGGGGAATTGGTCAGGACTTCTGGGGACCCCGTGTTGAAGAAATCAGGGCGTCGGATGTCTGGGGAGAGCGCCAGAAAGCGACATGGGGCCGCCAGAAAGCGACGTGGGATGAGGAGCCCTCCCGCGGGACTTGGTCAGGACTTCTGTGGGGACCCCGTGTGGAAGAAGTCAGGGCGTCGGATGCCTGGGGAGGCGCCCCTGTCCCTGAGGTGCCCCTGGGTTCGGGGCCGCCTTCCTCCTGGCGCCTCGGACGCCCCTGCTGGCCTTCTTCTCTTGCCCGTGGCAGCCCTGGGGACGCCCACCCGAGCTTCGGGGGGCGCTCGCGTCGTCGTCGTCGTCGTTGTCGTCGTCGTCGTCGTCGTCGTCGTCGTCGTCGTGGTCGTCGTCGCCGTCGTCGTCGTCGTCGTCGTCGTCGTCGTCGTCGTCGTCGTCGTCGTGGTCGTCGTCGCCGTCGTCAGCTCGCTGCCGCCCCCAGGCGGAGCCTGTCGGGGCGCCCGTGGTCACGCGGCAGCTCCCCGCGACGGCCGCTGCTTCGCGGCCCGCCCCGGCTCAGCGTGCCGCGGCCGCGCCGGCGGCGCCGCAGCCGGTGCCGGGCCGCCCCGCCGGGGTGTCGACAGACAGATCGGTACGATGCGACCAGAACGCAGGCCCAGCCCTCCTCGCGAATAGAAAACAAAAATCACGGCGGGAAGTGTTTCCCCAGGTTGGGCCTCCAGGGGCCCTATGCCAGGCCTCAGGAACGTAAACAAAACGACTCGGGATGAGAAGCCGGTCCCGGGGAAGTGGTCGAGAGGTCACGGTCGGGGGCCCTTGTCTCGAAAAAATCGAGATGCCGGATGTCTGGGAATGACAATCCCACCCACGGAAAAACAAAACACGGAATGGGATCCCACCCACGGAAGAAAAACAAAAACGCCATGAACATCAACTTTTGGCGCTCCGCTCGCATTTCTTGGATCGGCGGCTGGGCCCTCTGGGCGGCGCCTCCGGCGCAGCCCCTGGCGCGCTTCGCGCGCCATGGAGGCGGTCCAGTGCGGATCCGAGAGATTGGCGCAGACCTCCAAAAGTTTATGTTTACCGTCGTCGTCGTCGTCGTCGTCGCCGTCGTCGTCGTCGTCGTCGTCGTCGTCGTCGTCGTCGTCGTCGTCGTCGTCATCGTTGTCCTCGTCGTCGTCCGCGCCGTCGTCGTTCGTCGTCGTCGGTCCGGCCGCGCTGGCTGCGCCGCAGCCGTTGCCTGGCCGCTCCGGGGGTGGGTCGCTCGCGCCGCGCCGCGCGGCGGCAGGGAGAGGCTCCAGGAGGGCGGAGGATGCGAGCCGTGCTGCGACGTGGTTGTTCCGATCATGGCTGCGTGAGCCTAACGACGGCGACCGAAAGTGAGAAGGAGAAGGCCTTCTCAGAAGGCGGCAGGACTTCTCAGAAGCACTCGCGCCTTCTGAGACGTTATCTGTGTCTTCGGGGTGGTTCAGAGGACTTCTCAGAGAGCCGGGGGACTTCCGAGCCTTTGAGCAGGCCCGCCCCTTCTCACTTCCCTCTAGGCTCGCCGCCTAGGGGGGGGGAAAGAACAAATAAAAAAAGAAACAAAAAAACAACAACAAACAAAAACTTCCCCTAGGCTCGCCGCCGGGCCATGCTGCGACGTGATTGTTCCGATCATGGTCGCCGGAACCTGAGTTGTCGGAGCTCCGTGCGGGCTGCTTGGATCGGCGCTGGGCCCCCCCCCTCCATGGTGCGCGGATCGCGCCAGGGGCGGCGCCAGGCGGGGGAGTCCGCCGCTGCGAGATCGGCGGCGAGCCCAAGGGGGAAGTGAGAAGGGGCGGGCCTTCTCAGAAGGCTCGGAAGTCCCCCGGCCTTTGAGACGCTTTCTGAGTCTTCCCCGAAGACACAGAAGACAAGACCTCTCAGAAGGCGCGAGGGCTTCTGAGAAGTGCCGCCGCCTTCTGAGAAGGCCTTTTTCTTGTCACTTCCCCCCCCTCGCTCGCGGCCGACAAGAAACCCGCGCGGAGCTCCGAAAGTTTACGTTTCTGTTTTTTCTTTTTCCAGATCTTTCGTGGCGTGACAGTCCAGATCGCGGATGGACCGCTCTCGTCAGGCCCCCCTGGGAAGAGCGCGAGGCGTGCGCCCGGCCCTGGTCGCATCTCTATGTCAGGTTCTCCCGCGCCACGTGCATGCGGAACATGCTGATACTGTTGCCGCTCCCGCGCTGGCGGCAAGGCAAGGCTGAGGCGGCCAGCCATTTGCTGCCCTGGGCCTCTGGGTCACCCCCTCGGGCGGGGCGACACGGCACGCCTTCGAGGCAGGCAACCGCACGTGAAGCCCAACCCCGGGGAGTCAGATGTACATCCAGAGTGGGCCCCAGCGGGGGTTGCCGATGCCGCAGCGTGGACTGGACCCGCAGGGGTCGGGCTCGCTGGTGGCCGCAGAATCGAGGTCCTCGGGCGCCTCTGGGCCGCGCGTGGCGCGGCCTCCTGGCGCCTGCTGGGCGGACAGCGCGCCGCCCAGCCGCCGCGAGGCCGCGAGGTCGGTCTTGTGGTGGTCAATCGACGGCGGCGGCGGCCGATCGGCGGCGGCGCCGCGGACCGCGGCGTGCCGGTGCCTCCAGAGTCCGGAGCGACACGATCCTTCCACATACATGCCTTCGTTTTAAGTCGGGCATGGTCCTCTACAGGAGGCAAGCGCAGAAATGGTCCCAAATAGTCAGGGGATGATGTCTGGAGTATTTTTCGGGGCCATTTTTCAATATTTGTTGAGTATGTTTTATTTATCGCCCCAAATCTCCCTGTAAGAGGATATGCCCGACCCAGCCCCACACATACCTTCGTTGCAGAAACCAATGACAACGGAATGTTTGGGGTCGCTTCCGGCCTCCAGCGCCGGCGCCACACCTGGTGCGGGGCCGCCTCGTCGTAGGGCGCCGGCAGGCCCAAACGTCCATCGTTTCCGGGGCGGTCAGGACACCATTTATGACAGACGAGCGGTAGGTGGCATCATCCAGACATAATGATAATGCATTCTACCACGATGGCCCACTAGGGCCGACGCGCGGGCTCTGAAATCTTACAGTATGTACTCGGTGGCGTTCGCTTTCTGGCCACGTAGCCTGGTTGGCGATATTGAGTAAGATGTTCCCTGGGGCCGAGCCGTTTTTTTAGGTTCGTCGGGCCTGGCGAAGCCCCCCAGAAATCGGACACGGCTAGACACTTTCCGTCATTTGTTGTTGTTATTTATATTTACACATATATATGTATAGTATATATACACATATATATAACAACACATATTACTCTAAAGTGACAACAGCGCAAGCAAATTTGCGATTCGGTCCTTTCCATGGTTGTTGTCGTTCAGCTCAGAAAGCAGCGTCAATGCCGCTGGGCGCAGGGAGGACAGGCCATGCGTTTGTTCTGTTCCCTCTTGTTGTCTCGTCGTACGTTCCCCCATCTGTGCTCGTGTCCTCGTCGTCGTCGTCCTCTGGATCTTGTGGGCCGGCAAGGGGTTATCCCTGAGCAGACGCCAGGCCGCGCAGCGGATTTGACCTCAATGATTTTACACAGCGTTGGTGGATTCATTCTTGGCGGCCTGTGGGGAGGCATGGTCGCTGACCATTCGTCGGTGAAACACATATCCGTATCCGCGGCCTCGCGGGCGGGCTCCTGGGCCGCGACCCCGCGGATATGCGGTGTTTTTTCGTGGATGCCCCGCGCTGAACGTTTCCGTGCGGCCGCATATCCACGGGATTGCGCCCCAGGATCTAGATTGCGAGGGCGCGGATGCGGATGTGTTCGCCGCTTGTTCGGCTACGCGCAGAGGGGTGTAAGGCGAGAGAGGGGCAGGCTTCTTAGAAACACCCCTGCTTCTAAAAAACCCTCCCCCTACCCCTTTGTGCGCGCTGCCAGCTTGTGCTCGTGACGCCTGTTCGCCCCCGTCCCTGGGACTGGCCTTAAGTCGGGCATGCCCTTCTGCAGGAGGAATATTCAAAAATCGGCAGAAAATAGTCAGGGTATGATTTTTCGATTATTTTTTTGACAATTTAGAAATATTTTGATTATTTTCTATTTTTAGTCAAAAATCCGCCTGTACGGGGACATGCCCGACCTAAGCCTGGGAGTGGCCTCCCTGGCAGGTGCTGGGTCCCCCTGTCACAGCGACCGTGGCGCCCTGGAAGGCCTGCGTGTCTTTGAAGCCGGATGCGGCTCCAGAAACACGCATTTTTTCCAGCCGGATCGGGTCTCAAACCCACGCAGTCCTCCCTGGCAGGTGCTGGGCCCCCCAGTCACGGCAACCGTGGCGCCCGTGGCTGCGGCGACTTCGCCCCGGGCGCGGCGCGGCAGCGCGCCTTCACCGGCCGCCCGCGGCGGCAGCGCAGGCGCCCTCGCCGCCCCCGCCGCTCTCGCCAGACCATCGACGTCGTCGCCGTCGTCGTCGTCGTCGTCGTCGTCGTCGTCGTCGTCGTCGTCGTCGTCGTCGTCGCCGCCGCCGCCGCCGCCGCCGCCGCCGCCGTCGTCGTCGTCGTCGTTTTTGCAGTGGTCGTTGCCGCCGCCGTCGCCGCCGCCGCCGCCGTCGTCGTTGCCGTCGTCGTCGTCGCTTTTGCCGTCGTCGTCGTCGTCGTCGCTGTCGCCGTCGCCGTCGCCGTCGTCGCCGCGTCGTGGGTTCCGGGCATTCCTTCCTCGTGGGAAAACAACCCCTCGCCAAACACATATCGTCACCTCCGTCTTCTTCTTCTTCTTCTTCTTCCACTTGGGTTTCGTCGTCATCTTCAGTAGGCTCGATGACCGAGGTCGCAAGGCTACGGTGGCAACGACGGCGGCGATGGCGACGACAGTGTGGGACGGCAGGAGGGGGAGAGGGGGGAGGGAGGGGAAATGAGGCCGAGCTTCGGATGCGGATGGAGAGGGGGCTCTCCTCCTCCTCCTCCTCCTCCTCCTCCTGCTCCTCCTCCTTCGTAGCAGTTTTGGCTCAAGTTCAATTTGCTCGCCCGTGGCAGCTTGACCTTGGTCGCAGCCGTGAGGGTTGGCTCCGACCGCTTTCCTGCAACAGGTGCACACGGCCCATCCTGCTCTCAAGTGTGTGCCCGCCACCCGACTCGCAGTGTCCCGACTTCTCCCGCAGCCATGGCAGGGATGGAGGCTATGTGTGAGATGCTGAAAGGTCTACTGGCCGACCATGTCTACCATGCGCACTGAGATCAATGACGCCGTGGACCCGCTAAATGAGAACATAGACGCGCAGGGCAACCAGCTTGCCGGTCTACTGACCATCGTACAGGAGCAGGCCAAGAAGATCTCGTATTTCGAGAGTCCGCAGTTCCACAGGAAGCACGGCACCAAGTTCGTGGCGGCGCGCCTTGTCCACCAGTGTTGGAGTCGAAGCGCTACGACTTGATGCACATATCGACCTGACGAACGACAAGGGCGACCCGATGACCAAGTACGTCGGCACGTTCCCGAGGCCGCTCCTTCGCAAGACGAGGGAGGCGCACTTCCACGCAGCTCAGGAGCATTTTGCCTACCGAGCTCACCGAAGAACGAATTGAAGTTGTCTTCCACGCTGTAGGCCAGGTCTACAAGCTGAAGTTGGTGAAACGCGTGTGGGCGGAGGACTCCGTCAAGCACGCCCAACACCTTGGACACGAAGTGAAGGGCTGTCGCGATGAGGGCCGTGCATCCGCTGCGCGTTCGAGGTGACTCGCCTCTCCATGTTCGGCAGCAGAAGAGGCCTTCAGTTCGATCTTCGCCCAGGTCCGCGACCTCGCGCAGAAGTCGACCCACCGGGCGCCCGAAGGAAGATTGGGAACGAATGGTCACAGCGGAATTCACCGAGCGATAGCCGCAGATGGTGTCTGGGAAGTCGTGCATGCCAAACCCGCCGCCGAATAGTCTTTCGCGCTCGAGCCGATGATCGCCAACCTGCAGCAGCGGGGAGTCTCCGCCGAACAGGTTCGCAAGATTTTCGACCAGCTGTGAAATTTTCCAGGAGCTCGCCACGGACTCGCAGGGATGGCCTCCGTGGCCCCCCATTTCTGATGCCGCTGCCTGTCAGGCATCTGCTTGTTCGGTCTTGCGCTTCGCTGGGGATCGAACGAGCGTGCCTCTCCTCCCTCCGCTCTTGCCGCCGAGTAGTCCCGGCCAGAACTTGCAGACCTTGCCGGGGCGCAGGGGTCCAGGCCAGGCCGTTGCCTCCTCCCCCACCTTCCCCCGCCGGCCTCTGAAGCCCCCGGCGTGGAGCTCCCAGGCTCTACTTGGGCTTCTACGTGCTGGTCCAAAGTCGCCAGCACAGCAAACATCGTAGGCTTCGCGTTCTTCCTGAACACCGTGATGTCGTTTGTATTTGGGATTCGCACGGGGCGCTTGGGGGCCTCCCGATCTTCCAGAGGGACTGCAAGGATCGCAAGGTTCACGGCTCGTTCTGCGCTCAGCCGAGTGCTGGTGGCATCCTCATATTCTTCCACAAACGACTGGCCGTCGAATTCACTGTGGCCGTTTTTGACCAGATTGTTCCTGGCAGGATTGGTTGTCTATCTCTTCGGGGGTCCTAGCGGTAGCATGCAGGCATCTAACATACATATGAATCCGTGCGTCCCAGAGCCCGCTTTTAGAGCCGAGTTTGGATTGATTCGCGGTGCGATGTTTCCCGCTGTCTCGTCGCCCACCTTCGTCCTTGGAGATTTCGATGGCCGCGACGTGGGACAATGCCGACTGAACGCTACCACGGGAGTTGAGAGGTACGCTCCTGCGAGGTTGGCCAGTACATTTCACGATTTATTCCCCAAGCTCGCCGAGCTCGCGCAGGACTCGTTCGCACGCCGCAGAGTTGTTGCCGTTTCCTCCCTTTCTACGTCGTGCGCCCGTCTGGGCAGAATATGCGCATCCATGAATATAGCTGGTATGTTTAACTATGCCCCTGCTTGTGGCGCTATGTGGAGTATCGCAGGTATGACGGAGATCGACGAGACTATGACCACTGCCGCCCAACAGACAACGCGTGACATTTACCATTCGAATGCCGAGGCGACCCCCGAAGTCATTGCCTGCCAGTCCCCTCCGGTCCCCCGACGGGGGGGGATCAAAGGGAAGGGGCTTCCCTTCGACTCGATTACGGCAATGCGAGATTTTTCCCTCGCTGACAGGCTTGAGGAGGGTGCAGGGAAAGGGGACGACGCAGACGACGACTGACGGATACGACGACTCGAACAGACAAACCCTTCGCACACGCCGACAGGGTAGGCGGATTATGCTGGTGACTATGCTGCTGCCAATGATGATCACGTTGATTATGATGCTGCTGCTGATGATTATGCTGATGATGATAACGATGACGATGACGATGACGATGATGATGACGATGAGGATGATGATGATGATGATGATGATGATAATGATGAAGCTGATGACGATCGTGATGATGATGCTGATCATGATGATGATCATGATGATCATGATGCCAGTGATTATGCTGATGCTGATGCTGCTGCTGATGCTGATGATGATGCTGACGACTATGATGATGATATTGATACTGTTGATGATGATAATGCTCATGCTGATGGTGGTGGTGCTGCTGCTGATGATGCTGAGGATGATGTTGACGGCGACGATGACGACGACGATAGTGATGATGATGCTGATGATGCTGCTGATGGTGATGGGGAGGATGTTGATGATGATGATGATGACCTTGGTCATGATGATGATTTTGCTGATGATGATGCTGATGAGGATGATACTGATGATGATGATGCCCATGCTGATGTTGATGCTGACGATGCCGATTCTGATGATGATGCTGATGATGATGATGCTAATGCTGCTGATGATGATGCTGCTGATGCTGATGCTGATGCTGCTGCTGATTATGATTATGATACTGATGATGATGATGATGATGATGATGATGCTGATGATGATGATGATGCTGTTGATGATGATGATTATGATGATGATGATGATGATGATGATGATGATGATGAGGATGATGATGATGATAGTAGTGATGATGACGATGAGGATGACGATTCCACTTATGATGCGGATGATGTGGCAGCTGCTGCTGAAGAAGAAGATGATGATGATGATGATGATGATGATGATGAGGACGATGACGATGATGACAATGATGATGCTGATGCTGCTGCTCATGCTGATGACGATGCTGCTGATGATGCTGATGATGATGGTGACGATTCTGCTGTTTAAGATGCTGACGATGACGATGATGCTGTCTAGGATTATGCTTACTGTGCTGACGACGATGATGATGACGACTATGATGCTGATGATGAGGACGATGCTGATGATGAGGGTGATGATGATGATGATGATGATGATGATGATGAGGGTGATGATGCTGCTGCTGATGATGATGAAGATGCTGATGCTGCTGCGTCTGCTTCTGATAATCACGACGATGCTGCGGCTGACGATGTCGCTGCTGCTGATTCAAATGCTGCTGACGATCACGATGATGCTGCTGATGATTGTTCTGATGATGATGATGATGCTGATGGCGCTGATGATTATGATGATGATGATGCTGAGGTTGTTGATGATGACGGCGATGATGCTGATGCCGATGACGATGATGATGATGATGATGCTGATGATGATGATGGTGCTGACGATGATGATGATGCTGATGATGACGACTATGACGATGACGATGACGATGACGATGATGATTCTGGACATGAGGATGCTGCTGCTGATGACGATGATGGTGATGATGAGGTTGATGATGCTGATGATGGTGATGATGGTAATGATGGTTATGACGATACTGATGCTTCTGATGCTGGTGATGTAGCAGCTGCTGCTGATTCTGCTGACGATGATACTGATCATGCTGATGATGCTGATGAGGACGACAACGATGATGGCAATGATGATGCTGATGCTGCTGCTCATGAGGTTGACGATGCTGCTTATGATGCAGATGATGATAGTGACGATGCTGCTGATGAAAATGCTGATGATGACGATGTTTTTTTGAGTAGGATTGTGCTCACCATGCTGCTGCTGACGATGACGATGACTATGAGGCTGGTGATGATGATGATCATGATGCTGATGCTTATGACGCCTATAATGCTGATGATGATGCTGATGATGAGGATGGTGATGATGATGGTGCTGCTGCTGCTGCTGCTGATGATGATGATGATGATGAGGGTGATGATGCGGCTGCGGCTGGTGATGCTGATGATGCTTATGATACTGATGATGGTGATGATGATGATGCTGCTGATGCTGATGATACTGATGATGCTGCTGCTGATGATGATGAGGATGATGCTGCTGCTTCTGATGATGACGATGACGATGCTGCTGCGTCTGCTGCCGACGATCCCGATGATGCTGCGGCTGACGATGCTGCTGCTGCTGTTGAGGCTGCTGCTGCTGACGATGAATATGATGCTGATGCTGATGATGAGGATGATGATGATGATGATGAGGATGATGATTATGATGATTCTGATGATGCTGATGACGCTGATGCGGATAATGATGCTGATGTTGATGATGCTGATGATGATGATGATGCTGATGATGATGACGATGCTGCTGATGATGATGAGGATGATGATGATGCGGATGATGCTGCTGTTGAGTGGAGGATGATGATGATTATGAGGATGACGATGGTGGTGAGGGCGATGATGATGATGCTGAGGCTGATGGTGATGAGACTGACGCTGCCGATGCTTATGATGATGATGATGATGATGATGATGATGATGATGATGATGATGATGATGATGATGATGATGCCGACGACGACGACGATGATGGTGGTGCTGATGATAATGATGATGATGATGATGATGATGATGATGATGATGATGATGATGATGATGATGATGATGATGATGATGATGATGATGATGATGAGGATGATGATGATGATGATGATGATGATGATGATGATGATGATGACGACGACGACGAGGACGATGACGACGACGACGACGACGACTATGACGATGGTGATGGCGATTGCATTGGGGATGGTGATTATGAGGAGGAGGAGGAGGAGGAGGAGGAAGAGGAGGAGGAGGATAATGAGGAGGAGGAGGGGGAGGTTTAGGAGGAGGAGGAGGAGGTGGAGGAGGAGGAGGAGGATGAGGAGGAGGACGAGGAGGAGGAGGAGAGGAGGAGGGCGGGTGGAGGAGGAGGAGGAGGAGGAGGTGGAGGAGGAGGAGGTGAGGAGGTGGAGGGGAGGAGGGAGGAGGGGAGGAGGAGGAGGAGTTGGAGGTGGAGGTGGAGGAGGAGGAGGAGTAGGAGGAGGAGGAGGAGGATGAGGATGAGGATGAGGATGACGAGGAGGGGGAGATGGAGGAGGAGGCGGAGGAGGAGGAGGAGGAGGAGGAGCAGAAGGATGGGGAGGAGGAGGAAGAGGAGGAGGAGGAGGAGGAAGCGGGGGAGCAGGATGAGACGAGGATCATGAGGAGGGGGTGGAGGAGGATGAGGAAGGGATCCCTTCTCGTCCCTTGCCAGCGGAGTCCGCCGCCCCCGCGTCAGGCAGTCCTGCTGACAGCGACTCCTCCAGCTGCTCGTCGTCGGGGGAGGACGACGACGAGGCTCGTTCGCCCACGATCTGCGGAAACGATGGAGGGGATACGTATGTGGCGGTAGCAGAGGATAAGGAGGATGAGGAGGCGGAGGAGGAGGAGGACGAGGAGGAGGAGGAGAAGGAGGAGGAGGAGGAGGAGGGGAAGGAGTAGGATGAGGAGGATGAGACGGATAAAGATGAGGATGAGGAGGATGAGAAGGATGATGAGGGGGGGGGGGGTAGGATGAGGAGGACTATGAAGCGCAACGCTTCGTGTGATGGAGATGATTTTGGGGAGCGGGGGGGGGGGGGGCAACAGGGCGAGGTTTAGCGCATTGATGGTGATCTGCAGGCTGGGGGAGGAGGGGGGTGACAGTGGTAATGGCTAGTCGCTCTCCTGCTCCTGGTAGTCCCCCATAGGCCTCCTCGTCTTCCTCCTCCTCCTCTTCCTCCTCCTCCTCCTTCTTTTTCTCCTCCTCTCTCTCCTCTCTCCTCCTCCTCCTCCTCCTCCTCCTCCTCCTCCTCCTCTCTGCTTCGTCGTTGCCGAATTGTCCCGACTTCTCCCCCTCCTTCGTCCGCGTCCTCCTCCTTGTCATCCTTTGTCTTCCCCCCCCACGTGTTTCCCCACGGGTTGTAACACCAACTGTGCGACCACATGTCCAGTATTTTGGGCATAGGTTGGCCCAGCGTTCTGCAACACAGGATCTTCCAAAGGCGTCGTTGGTTCGCCCGTTGGTTCGACGGAGTCGTCTTCGATTTCCGAACGACGCGCCCTGGGTCAGACGAAGGGGGGGGGGAGAGGAGTGGAGGAGGAGGTGGAGGAGGAGGAGGAATCGGATAGTGATACTGATGACGAGGATGATAAGGCTGATGGGGATGCTGAAGAAGATGCAGAAGATGAAGAGGATGATGATAATGCTGATGCTGATGCCGATGCTGATGCTGCTGATGATGATGATGCTGGTCATGCTGATGATGCTGCTGCTGATAATGATGATTATCAGTATGCGGATGATGATGATGCTGATGCGGATGATGATAATGACGATGATGATGCTGCTGGTGATGATGATTATGATGATGATGATAATGCTGATTCTAATGATGGTGCTTATGATTTGGATGCTGCTGATGATGATGATTCCGATGATGATGACGATGCTGATGATGCTGATGCTAATGCTGCTGCTGATGATGCTGATGATGTTGCTGCTGATGATGACGATGATGATGCTGCCGATGATGATGATGATGATGATGATGATGATGATGATGATGATGAGGATGATGATGATGATAATGATGATGATGATGACGATGATGCTGATGATGATGATGATGATTATGATTCTGATTATGATGACGATGATGATGATTATTATGTTGATGATGCATATGATGAGGATGATGATGATGATGACGATGATGAGGATGAGGATGAGGATGACGATGATGATGATGATGATGATGATGATGGTGATGGTGATGGTGATGGTGATGATGATGATGCTGATGCTGATGCTGATATGATGATGATGCTGATGGGGATGACGATGACGATGACGATGACGATGACGATGACGATGACGATGATGATGATGATGATAATGATGATGATGATGATGATGATGATGATGATGATGATGATGATGGTGATGATGATGATGATGATGATGATGATCATGATGTTGTTGTTGTTGGTCATGATGATTATGATGGTGATGCTGTTGATGATGCTGCGGACGATGCTGATTCTGCTGCTGATGATGATGACGAGGAGAAGGATGAGGAGGAGGAGGAGGAAGAGGAGGAGGTCACTGCCACATGCGGTGCAACAGGTTGGCCGTGGAGAGCATGTTGCCTTTCTCATGACTTTTCCACTGTTCAGCGCGCTGTCGGGCCACGCCGTCTTTGGTAGATTCGGTTTCAGATCCGAATGGGCATACCATAGACTGTGTGGCCAAGGGTTTGTATATGTGTCATGTGTGTATGTATGTATGTATGTATGTATGTATGTATGTATGTATGCATGCATGCATGCATGCATGCATGCATGCATGCATGCATGCATGCATGCATGCATGTATGTGTGTATGTATGTATGTATGTATGTATGTATGTATGTATGTATGTATGTATGTATGTATGTATGTATGTACATATGTATGTTATGTCTGTATGTATGTATGTATGTATGTATGTATGTATGTATGTATGTATGTATGTATGTATGTATGTATGCATGCATGCATGTATGTATGTATGTATGTATGTATGTATGTATGTATGTATGTATGTATGTATGTAAATATGTATGTATGTATGTATGTATGTACGTCTGTATAGCGCTGCCGGCCTCGCTGGCGAGCGCTCCGCCGCGGCCACCGCGGCCGCTGGCGCTCTGCCGCCGCCGCAGCAGCCTTCCGCGCTGCAGCCACAGCCGCAGCAGAAGCAATCGCAGCAGCCGCAGCAGCAGCAACCGGAGCCGCTGTTGGCCAATTGGAGCGACGACGACTACTACCTCGAGGCGCTGCGCCTGGCCCGGCTCCTCGGCTCGGGGCCCAACACCTCGGCGGTGGAGGTCATGGAGATGGTGCAGAGCCAGGGCCGCTTCATCTCGCAGCAGGGGGCGGCCGCTGGTGATCGGAGCCGCGTCAGGCAGGGCCTATGCCTGGCGCGGGCGGCGCTCCTCCTCCGAGATCGCTTGGCAGGATCTTCAACGGAGCGGCCACCGAGCTGCTGAGCGCGGATGCGCCCCTCCTGCTCCGCCTCGGCGTGGTGGTGGTGCCGGGGATCGCCGTGGCGGCCGCCGAGCCCTCGGTGGGGGGCCGACTGCCTGTCGCCGTGGTCCCGGGCTTCTTCACCCCGTCGTGCCTCGGCGTGGTGGTGCTGCGGATCGCCTCGGCTGCTGCCTAGTCCTCCCAGGAGGGCCCGTCTGCCTGTCGCCGTGGTCCTGCGCTTCATCACCCCGCCGTGCTTCATCTTCAACTTCGACTTCCTCCTGACCTGATTCGGGGTTCGTGAGCCGCGTCCTGAGGGATTATAGGGGCGCCAGCTTTCCTAGCACAGGAATTGGCTTTTTCCTGTGATTGCTTCTCGCTCTTCCTCTTCCCTCGCCTCGTCTTGGGCTCCTCGTCCGCGCATCGCTGACCCTATGCTGCTGCTCCCGCGGGCCGCTGGAGTGCTCTGCATAGCGTAGCCCCTCTTGTTCCTGTCCACCCGTCCGCCGCACAGTGGCCTGATCTTAGCTAAGTTTGTCTCGCTCGGAGGCGTGCGCTCTGCTCCGTGCCATTTTGGCCAGGTGCCTCGTTGGTGGTGCTTCGAGGCCGTGCAACGCGGTCGTGCCCTCAGGGCAGCGCGGGGGCAAACACTTCAGAGGAGGCTGGCGTAGCTGTGGGAGAGGCGGGAGAAACATTCAAACAAACATGTATGTATGCATGTATGTATGTATGTATGTATGTATGTATGTATGCATGTATGTATGTATGTATGTATGTATGTATGCATGCATGCATGCATGCATGCATGCATGCATGCATGCATGTATGTATGTATGTATGCATGTACGTATGTATGTATGTATGTATGTATGTATGTATGTATATATGTGTGCAGGTATGAATGTATGTATGTATGTAATAAATGTATGTATTCTGTATGTATGTAGGTATACATGTATACATGTATGCATGTAGGCATGCATGTATATATGTATGCCTGTCTGTCTGTCTGTCTGTCTGTATGTATATGTTTATGTATATGTATATGTATATGTATATGTATATGTATATGTATATGTATATGTATATGTATATGTATATGTATATGTATATGTACATGTATATGTATATGTACATGTATATGTACATGTACATGTATACGTATATGTATATGTATATGTATATGTATATGTATATGTATATGTATATGTATATGTATATGTATATGTATATGTATATGTATATGTATATGTATATGTATATGTACATGTACATGTACATGTACATGTACATGTATATGTATATGTATATGTATATGTATATGTATATCTATATGTATATATATGTATATGTATATGTATATGTATATGTATATCTATATGTATATGTATGTATGTATATATATATATATATATTGCACTGCGGCGAGCGGGGGAGCATTCGTGCTGTGGTGTTTGGGTTCCCCTGCAGAGGGCTGCCTAGTGTTGCGCGGAGCAGTCACTCTTCCCACATGATGTGGCTGATGCGGGGGTCGTGTCTCCGGGTGTGTTCGCTGCGGTGCGTTCATGAGCTTTCGATCTCGTCCGTATTTTCCCCAGGAATGTCACGTGGCTCCTTGCGTTCGTGCTGGGGTCGGTACGCGCTGAGCACGGGTGGGAACCGGCGTGCGCGAAGTTCAAAAGGCGCGCGCAGGACTGGGGCCACTGGGGGCGGGATGTGCGCCAGCACGTTAGCTTGTTCGGTATATGCGTTCTCCGCGCTGAGCTTCTTGGCGGAACTGGATGCGCCGCCGTCGTGGTGGGCGAAACTGGAGGCCGAGGCGATGCAGTCGTTGTTCCCTGGCCCGCGCCGGTGGGCGCCGCCGGCTGCCGTCCACGGTCTGCCGCTGCTGGGCCTCCCCGCTCCAGTCCTGGACTTGCACCCTCTGTCCCTCGCTGCAAAATTCAGGGTCTGCCAGTGGGAGGCGGCGTCGGAAGGCGGCCTCCGGGTCGCAGAACGGGCTGCGAGACTTCGCCACGTGCGGCTCTACGCCACGCAGTCGCTCGAGCGCTTGGGCACATGGGCGTCCTGGTACCAGCAGGCGTTCCTCCTTCAGCTGGACTCCGCCAGACAGTATTTCGAGGGGCGCGGGCTGACGCCCGCGCGCATAGCCGTGGAGACCAGGGCCAGGAACGCGGATCGAATACGCCAGCTTTGGCAGTGCGCCTGCGTGCGCTTGATCGCCCCTGATCGCTCTGTCGAGCTGCGCGCGTTCCTGCGCGTGCGGTTCTCGAGGTGGGCGCGCGGCCGGCCTCCCAGAGGACGTCATGCTGGACCGCGTCATGTCCGCGTTCCCGGCGGTGCCTCGGCTGTGCCCCCCTCGGGCGCTCGCTGCATGCATCAGGACCCTGTGGAACGGCTGGGCCACGGGCCGCCGCTTCCAGAGGCGCGCCGATGGTTTTTTTGGATGCGCAGCGGGGGAAGATCCTATTGAACACTACGCAGGCTGCCCGCAGGTGTCCGCAGCCGTCGCCCCCCCCCCCCCCCTGTGGGCCCCACGCCCTGGGTGGTGCGGGGGACCGCTCCTCACCCTTCCCGCTCTCTCTCCGCTTCCCCGGTCGTCGCCCCGGCCCCTCCTCCTGCCCTCGCCTCCCTCCCTCCGCTCCCCCCCGCCGCCGTCGTCGTCGTGTGTCGGTCTTGCCGCCGTGGTCGTCGTCGCCGTCGGCGCCCTCGGTGTCGTCGTCGCGGTCGTCTCGTCGCCGTCGTCGTCGGTGGGGGGGGGGTCCCTTGCTCACCCCGAGGCTTGCGGCCCCCCGCGGGGGTGTCGCCTGGGATTGTCGCGGCGGCTGCATGGCGGCTGGGTCGATGGCCAGTGCTTGGCTGCACTGCTGGCGCACGCCCTGGGTAGCCAGCAGACAGGTCCCGCTGCAGCATGGCGGGCACGTCGAGGCATGTCTTTGCTTCTCCCCTCTTGTCCTTCTCTTCCTCCTCTTCCTCCTCCCTCCCCCGGGGACGTGTGGTGCCACTTGGTCGGTCCAGGCCGGCGGGCCTGAAGCTGTCCCGGCCGAGCGGCCGATGGACCGTGGGAGGGGGTCTGTCCTGGGCTCGGACGCCCCCCAAGGGTGGACGCCGGCGTGCCGCCCGATTTGGGGGAGGGCACCCCGTCGGTTTGTTCCGGGTGTGCTCCGGCCGCGCTCGCACGACATAGTGTCGGCCAGGCGTTTCTTCTCCCCTCCATCCCCTTCCCCTCCTCTCCGGGGTCGTGGCACGGAGAGCGCCAGGGTGGCAGCTTCAGTGCGAAGAATTGGCGGTTGCGCCGGCTGCACGCCGGGGTGGGCCATTGACGTGCCGCCCGGACTTGTCGGCCGCTCTCTCCAGGGAGCCGTTGCTAGCTTCGTTCGGTGGCTCGCCGCCACCACGCGGCATTGCCGTGTGGACATCCTGCAGCTGTTGGGCTGGCTCAAGCCTGTCTTACGGCACCTCTCGGATATCTTCATCCGCGTTCTTCTAGTTGCCAACGGGATGCAACTCTTTGCCTTGCCAGTTCCATTCCAGTGGGACGGTCCGGTAATTGAATGGCTGGGGAGCTTGATAATTTGTCCTTTGCCGTGAGAGGAACCCGAGTCTCCCGCCCTGCCGCTATCAACCATCAGCCGGTATTATGTCTGCCCCTTTCCCTCTGGGCTTGTGTATTCGCTTCTGCCACGGGTCTCAGACAGAGTCCATTGGGACTTGCATTGATGCATTTTGCGATCTGCCGGCCCACTGTGGTCTGGACTAGAGTTTGTGACCTCTGCTAGTGAGTTTACTTTCTCGACCAGGCGTGCGTTCGCCAGTTCACTGCACCCGCTCACGTTCTTTGCTCGTCTGTCCGCATTCGTCCCCTCAGCTTTCCTCCTTTTTCCTCCTTCTTCTCAGAAACTCATGGATCCGCGCGTTCGCCGCGCAGAGGGTTCTTTGATCTTGTTGAAGAGCGGGCTCGACCCACGATCGGCTCAGCTGGTCTGGCAGGGCGTTTGCTTTGTGTCTAAGCGCAGCTTTAGTGCAGGCCATGCACAGCATCGGAGCCACCATGAGCTAACAGGATGGGGAGTAGGAACAACAAGTAATGCGAATGAGAGGATGACAGCGGGGAGAAAGGGGAGGTGCAGGAGCATGAGGAGGAGGAGGGGGAGGAGGAGGAGGAGGAGGAGGAGGAGGAGGGGAGGAGGAGGAGGAGGAGGAGGAGGAGGAGGAGGAGGCGGAGGAGGAAGAGGAGGAGGAGGGGAGGAGGAGGAGGAGCAGGAGGAGGAGGAGGCGGAGGAGACGGGGGAGGAGCAGGAGGGGGACAAGTATGAGTAGGAGTATGGGTATGAGTAGGAGTAGGAGTAGGAGTTTGAGGAGGAGTAGGATTAGGAGTCGGAGTAGGAGGAGGAGGGGGAGGAATAGGAGGAGGAGGAGGAGGAGGGGAGGAGGAGGAGGAGGAGGAGGAGGAGGAGAACATGATGAGGAAAGGAGGAGGAGGAGGATTAGGAGGAGGAGGAGATGCGGAGGAGGAGGATGAGGGGGAGAATGAATAGGAGTAGGAGTAGGAGTATGAGTATGAGTGGGAGGATGAGTATGAGTATGAGTACGAGTATGAATAGGAGGAGGAGGAGGAGGAGGGGGAGGAAGAGGAGGAGGAGGACATGAGGAGGCAAGGATGAGGAGGACGATGCAAGGCGGAGGAGGAGGAGGAGGAGGAGGAGGAGGAGGAGGAGGAGGCTGCGTGCGCTGCCCCTCCTGGGGCTTCTCTTGAGGCTCCAAGCTCCGTCCTTGTGTGCGCGGGTCCTTGGTGCACATCGCCCCGCGGGCCCTTGGGAGAGGCCCAGCACCCGAGGAGCGTAGTTAGACGCCTCTCCGCCATCTCACCGAGTGCCGCAGTGCCAGGAGCTGCATTCAGCACGAGCTCCCCTACGCTGCAAGGTCTTTGGGCTTGCTGGTTGCGTTGGATCGACAGGCACGTGGTGTGTGTGTGTGTTGTGTGGGCATGTGTGAGCAGAGAGAGAGAGAGAGAGAGAGAGAGAGAGAGAGAGGGAGAGAAAGAGAGAGAGAGAGAAAACGAGAGAGAGAGAGAGAGAGAGAAAGAGAGAGAGAGAGACAGAGAGAGAGGCTGTCCCTTGTGCCCACTTCGGCTCCGATGCATCCCTCGGCTGTCTTTACCGCTTCTTGGGCTCAAGTTTCCACTTGCCAGAAAAGTGAGCACACAGTTCCCTGGCTGAAGGCCACGAGGGTGGGCGTGCGTATGTGTGTGTGTGTGTGTGTGTGTGTGTGCGCCGCCCAGGCCGACGACAAGGAAACGGACGGCAAGGCCAGCGCCACCCCGAGTCGACATGCGCCAGTGAGACGAGGCATCGGCATCGTTGTCGACGTCGTCGTCGCATATGGGGAGTAGCGTGAGGAGGACGAGCCTGAGGATGATGATATGAGAGAAGGATGATGATACGGACGGTGATGATGATTCTGAGGTTGTTGATGTTGGGGGCGGGGAGGAAGTATTAGCAACGGTAAGAAGAACGATGGGAGACACGCAGACGGTACTACTAGTAGTAAGAAGAAGAGGAGGGTGTGGAGCAGGGGGGTTGTGAGGTGGAGCCTCGAGCTTCGATCCTCCTCGATCTTTCCTCTAGCGGTTGGTGGACTGACAAATGTTGGGACGGGCGATCGGTCATCGGTGACATCGCAAGACAATGCTTGCCAGCGAAGGTCCAACATAGTAAGTTAGTGTATTATGGATGTGTAGGTTATGTGGTGCAATCAATATGGTGTAGACTATAGGGTGTGAGCAGTGTGGTGTGAGCTATGTGCTGGAAGCTAGGCTTGAGCTATGTGGTGCAAGCTTTGCTGTGTACACTCAGCGGTGTAAGCTATGTCGGACAATCAATGCGGTGTAAGCTGTGCGCTGCACTTCAGGCGGTGTAATTCATGTTGTGTACTATGAGTGGTGTGAGCTGTGGTGTGAACCATGTGGTGTAAGTGATGTAAGGTGTGCGGTGCGAAGAAAGCGGCAATCGCTACCTGGTGCAAGTTTCGTGGTGGAAGCTTTGTGGTGTGGGCTATGGCGTGCAAACTGTGCGGTGCAAGTGTCGTGTTGCACTTTTGGCAGCGCAATCTGTGATGTGCAAACAGTGTTGTGCAATCTGTGTGGTGTAAGCTACGTGGTGTGAGCAAGGTGGTGTAAGCTATGTCGCAAGCGCTGTGTGGTGTGAGCCACGTGGTGCACACGAGGAGAAGGAGGAGGATGAGGAGGAGGAGGCGGAGATGGAGGAGGAGGAGGAGGCGCAGGAGGCGGAGGAGGAGGAGAAGGAGGAGGACGACGAGGAGGAGCGGGAGGATGAGGAGGAGGAGGAGCAGGAGGAGGAGGCGGGAGGAGGAGGAGGAGGAGGAGGAGAGGAGGGGGACGACGAGAGGAGCATGAGGAGGAGGCGGAGAGGAGGCGGGGAGGAGGAGGAGGAGGAGGAGGAGGAGGAGGAGGCAAGCGCGCGGCGCCCACGCGCGCCGCGCGCGGCGCGCGAGGCAGGGCGGGCTCCCTCAGGAGGGAAAAAACGCACAGACACCATTAATCGTCGATTCCCAGGATGCTATGGGACAGTATGGGCAGTGGGGGGGGAGACAAAAACCCAGAGAATATGGGAAGATATGTGGAATATTCTGATTGGTGTGTATTTGTTTGTGTGTCCTGGGGCCCCTTCACGCCCGTCGAAACGTCTCCGCTCCCGTCATGAACCCACGTCAATCAGTGGCGGAGCGTCCCAGCTCGCCGATAGCCCTGCCAAACAGTGTTCTAAGAACCTCTCGTGGTTTCCGCGAAATGGTTCTCAGAACATGTCTGGCGGAGATCTGTCTTGTTTTATCACATCGGGTTTATGTTCCAAGGACATTGTTTTTGTTCTTAGAACATTTTGGGGTTCTAAGAACATTTCGTGGTAGGACTATAGGAATGCCGGGAGGGTCGGTCCCTGCTCAACCACGTGCTAGGCCTGGTGTTTGAGACAGCGGGGGAACGAGCAGTGACATAAGGCAGAAGACATCGGAGGTCTGCGCGGATGTCTCGGATCGGCGCTGGACCGCCCTGGCGGCGCCTCCAGCGCCGCTCCTGGCGCGCTCCGCGCGCCAGGGAGGGGGGTCCAGCGCGGATCCACAGAATCCGCGCGGGTTTCCGAGCTTTTTTGTTTATGTCATGTTTCGTTCCCTTAGACAGTTCTTGTCATACAACGCCAATCTTTGGCATGTGCGCCATGCTCTATCAAGGCCGTCCGCCCCCCCTGGATGAAACTGGCGTTTCGCCTCGCCTCGCTTCTCGGGGCGGGGTGAGCGGCGTCGCCAGGCCCGTCCTTCTGGGAGCAGGCCCGGGACGGCCTGGACCGCTTCAAGGAGTTCTTGGAGAACGTGCCCGTGTCCGCGGCCTCGCCCCCGCAGTTCTCCCCCAGCCAGTCGCCAGCCAGGGAGGGGGGGGGGGTGATCGCGAGAGGAAAAGGAGCGGGAGGATGTGGAGGAGGATGAGGATGAGGAGGAACAACAGTGCAAACCCAAGACGTACCAACGATGTTGCAGCAAACCTTCCCTCCAAGTTCTTTTTTTTCATAGGTCCCTGTAATTACCAAATCATTTTCACTTTGGGAAGTGACCCAACGGAAGACAACCGTCAGATATTCCCCAATTGTTTCAGAGCACCAGTCCTGGGACTTCAACGCCGCGCGTCAAAGTGAATGTTGCGTCCCGACAACCCTGAAGCGTGCCAGAACCAAATTTTGGGACCTCAACACCTCGAGTCAACGTGACTGTTGGGTCCTGACAGTCGTAAATCGCGCCAGGGCACCAATCCTGGGTCTTCAACCGTGCGAATCCCTGAAGTGGTTGCATCATTTCCAGACGGCTGTGCGTGGCGCTTCGGCGAGAGCCGCATTTTGAAAAGGAACCGCCCTCCATCCTTGAAGCTGTCGCACACATTCAGGACGAACGAATTTGCGCTGTGCTTGGGAGGAGGAGGAGGAGGAGGAGGAGGAGGAGGAGGAGGAGGAGGCGGAGGAGGCGGAGGATGCGGGCGAGAACCACATTCTGAAAACCAGGCGCCCTCCATCACTGAAAGAGCGTGTTCTACCGCTGCTGGCGGAAAACCGGGGGGGGTCACTGGGGGTTCTCAACCCGTCCCCCCCCCCTCGAAAACCGGGGGGGGGGGCACTGCCGGTTCGAACCCCTCCCCCCCTCCCCCCCCAGTCCATCATGAAAAGGGGGGGGGTGTCACTACCGGTTCGAACCCCCCCCCTCTCCCCTCGAAAACCAGGGGGGTTCACTACAGGTTCGACCCCTCCCTTCTCTCGCCGCCTGCAAACGATTCCCGCTCCTCGGGACATTTGGACAATGGTGGGGATGCTGGGACAGTGGTGGGAACGGTGGTGGTGGGGACAGTGGTCGGGGACAGTGGGACAGTGGTGCGGACAGTGGTGGGGGCGGTGGTGGTGGGGACAGTGGTGAGGGGACAGCGGGACAATGGTGGGGACAGTGGGACAGTGGTGGGGACGGTAGTGGTGGGGACAGTGGTGAAGGCGGTGGTGAGGACAGTGGTGGGAAAGCACAGTGGGGAAAGTGGAGGGGACAGTGGGGACAGTGGGACAGTGATGGGGACAGTGGGGACGGTGGGACAGCACAGTGGGACAGCGGCGGGGACAGTGGGACAGTGGGGACAGTGGGAACAGTGGGACTGTGGTGGGGACCGTGGGGAAAGTGAGGAGAGTGGGACCGTGGTGGGACAATGGTGGGGAGAGTGGGGACAGTGGGACCTGGGGGCAGTGGGACAGTGGTGGGGACCGTGGTGGTGGGGACAGTGGTGTGGGGACAGTGGGAATGTGGTGGACACAGTGGGACAGTGGAGGGTACAGAGGTGGCGGGGACAGTGGTGAGGGCGGTGGCGAGGACGGCGGTGGGATAATGGTGACACAATTCGCTCTAACGGCATCCCCGTTTCAGCTTCTCATCGCCAGCACAATCACTCTCTACCTAACCGCCAACACAAAAAGTGTGCGTCGCCCCCCCAGGGGCGACGCGCGCACCGAGAAATATCATAGTATACGCGCCGTGGCGGGCGCTTTCTGGCCATCCCGCTCGGGAAATGATCTGCTACAAGATGGGCATACTGTATGTTCGAGTCGGACGCACGCCACCAAGGCGGACATATAGTATTAGTATGTCTTTGTGCCTCCCACTTTACGTGGTCATGAGCTGAAGTGCTCTTTTGGTTCCCAGGGGAGAACGGGCGATGCTGGGGGGGAGGGGCGGGGGCGGGGCCGGTGACGTCGCGCTTCGCGCCGGCATTGACCGTGGACGCACAGGAATTGCCAAGACAGCTCGGGCGTCAGCGCGAATCGTGACGTTACCTCCAGGGGCGGGGGGGGGAGGGGGCGGCCTGGGCAGGTGACGGCCGCCGTCGAGAAGAATGCAAAAAACGCCGTCCTGACCACCAGCCGTGGACTTCTTGAAGGGCTCTGGTTGCGTGTTGTCGGATGGGGGTCCCCGCTCGAACGGGGGCCCCCTTCGGTGTCTGGCAACCCGCACCCATACCTATAATCCAGCCTCAAATCGCGCAGACGGGCCGTCAGAAACAACTCACCCGCCCCGTGGGGGCAAAGTTGAGGGGCAATGGCAGGTGGGGGTGAACAGGCTCGGTGGGGGGATATACCCAGGAGTTCAAACAATGAAACTATGTTTTTTTGAGTTTTCCTCGGTTCAGTGGGCGAACGTCGGAGTCTTGATAACGGGTAGAGCTTGAGCTTGAAGCAGTCCCAAGAGGAAAACCTGGAGCCTCCATGTGTGCCCCCTCGCAAAATCAGGCCAGTCTTCAAGTCGACCTTGGGCAGGAGCCTCTCCCATTTGGGCCAGAAGGCAAGCATCCCATGGGACCCCCCACGTGAGAGCCCAGACCATCCTTGCCGGTTCGCGGCGGTTTTTCAAGCTGGGATGCCTTCAGCGGTCGCGCCTCGCCGAGGGCGCTCCGGGGGTGCCAGGATCGTCCCAAACGGCCGCGAGAGAGCTGATTTAGAACCTGAAAGCCAGGGGGCAACGTCAGGGGGGATGGGCTCTGGTGGAATGGCCCATCGATTGCTGATAGGGGTGCCCGATAGCCCATCCTGCCCAGGAACATGCGGGTTCGATATCCGGGGCCTCTCGCCAACCTATCGAGGATGCATCCAAGATCTCAGGTCGATGTTGCCCCCACTGAGCCAGTCCACCCCCAACGTTCACCCTCAGCCCTTGGGAAGGGCTGGAGAGGTCCAGGGGCCCTGGGCATCGAAGAAGTCGGTGCGCCAGACAGTGTGTTCCTGGCCCAGGCTGTCATTGGCCTCCCTCCTGCCATTTTGGGGGCCCGCTCGGCCCGCGCGCGGGGTGCTCGCGGGAGGCCGTGGGGGCCTCCTCTGCTGGAAGTCTTGGGGAGACGTGGGTACCTTTCCACCGCTCGGATCTGTCCATATCCACCGCTTCGGCGTCCTGCCCCGGGATCTCGAGGAGTGGTGGGTACGGTTGGCGTTGGAAAGATAGCGTGAGATGTGGCGCCGAGGGCCCGCTTATTACACGCTATTCCCCACTTTTGAGGTAGCGTGTGCTGAAGAAGCCGAGGGACAGCGTGCACAGAAGGAGCCCTCGCGAGGGGATCGCCTCACAGGGACGGCGTGCCTTTCGGAGGTGGATGTTGCACGCTATCCTTCGAACGCCAACCGTATCCATATCCATACCTTGTGTGGTCTTTCATGGGAGCCTCAGACGGTCCCAAAATTCCTTCCGTGTTTTGGGATTCCGGCCGGATTTCGTCGGAGTGGTCGTCATGCGGACGAACCCTGGACAACATCCGGACGAAAGGGTGAAGAGAGGTGGTGGAACCCTGGACGAGCTCCGGTCGAAACCACGTTCATGATGGGGCCGCGGAGGTTCACAGGCTCCCACGAAGGCTCACACAACACATAACCACCCCTCACCCAGCCCCGCGGGCACGGCCCCGCGACGGTGGACATGGATACGTCCTGGCGGCGCGCTTGGCCGCGAGCGCCGCGGGCCGCAGGCCGCCGAGCCCATCGCCAAGGACCGCGCGACCGACGACCAGCACCTCAACAGCGCGGCCCCGCCCGGAGGGCGCCGGGAAGCCTCCGCGGGCACCGCGCGCCGCCAAGGGTGCCCGCGGGCACTCGGCCTGTCCTGCCGCCCTTGGCCTGGAGCTCGCCGCCCGGGCCCTCGTCGGGGGCAGCGGCGGGGGGTGCACAGGCTCAGGGGGGGGATGGGCCCCAGGGCTCGAATTGACAATTGCCACTGCCACCCTCCTCCTCCTCCTCCTCCTCCTCCTCACCACCACCACCACCACCACCAACACCAACACCACCACCACCACCACCACCACCACCACCACCACCACCACCACCACCACCACCACCACCACCACCACCACCCACCACCACACCACCACCACCACCACCACCACCCACCACCACCACCACCACCACCCACCACCACCACCACCACCACCACCACCACCACCACCACCACCACCACCACCACCACCACCACCACCACCACCACCACCACCACCACCACCACCACCACCACCACCACCACCACCACCACCACCACCACCACCACCACCACCGTCACCACCACCGTCATCATCATCATCCGTAGCAATGTTGGCACAGGGTCGACGACAGGGTCGAAGCACAAATCCCTGGTGCTTCGAGCCTGCTCGCAGCTGAGGGAACAGGTCGAAACCTGGGGACAGGTGCCTTTGCTTTGCTTGCACCTCCCTCTCCGACCTGATCAGGTCCCGACCGTCTTGGGCGCACGATTGCTAATTAGCAAAGGCGCGGATGCGTCGATCTCCGAGCTGGCGGCTCACTTGACCAAGATGAACTATTCCCTCCCCTCGGTAACGGATCAGGTCTTTGAGCTTGTCTCTCACGTCAAGGCTTGAGAAGTTGGTTGGACGAGGCGAAGGCTAACATGGCTAATGCCGAGAAGGAGTTCGCTTCTCTGCGCTCGCATGCGGCAGCGGATGTGGTGGCGGCAGCTCAGTTGAGAAACCCCGTGCTGTGCCTCGTCCCCGTCTCGGTTGTCCCGATTTGTTGTCGAAGGCCCTCCTTGTTGGTTTCAGTGCACTCGTCAGGTTCTGTTCGAAGCAGATGTTTCAGTTCTTTCGTCGTGTGCTACTGAGCAAGTGAAGTCGGTGATGAAGGTCCCCACCCAGAACTTTTCGAAGAAAGTGATTCTTGCATTCCCGTCTCCAGGAACAAATTTCCGACGCGACCGCTACGTTTAGGAAGAACTACCCCGACGACTTCGAGTGCACCGCCCCCAAGGGCCCCCGCGCGCGGCGGCTCGAGCCCCGTCGCGCTAGTCAGACTAACGAGCAGTTGATTGTGATGGGTAGGGTTCGCAGCAAGTTCGACGCGACAGTTGAGGCTGACCCTTCCCTCTCGAAGTTGTCCATCGGTTCGTCGACCGGCAGCGGGCACATATTCGTAACTGATTCTGAGACGCTCGACGCAGCGAAGCTCTTCCACGCTGCCGAGCCTAGCTCGGTTCAGGGAATGCCAGGCGTTATCTCTTGCTCTAGCCACTTCGAGGCTCTTGAGCTTGGAGGCAAGCGGGAGGTGATTGTGGACAAAGTCGTGGGCCAGTTGGGCCTTCGACGACCAGGTTCATTGGTTGTCCGCCCTTGCAGGGGCTGGGCGGCCCACGCAGGACGTTTCCTTTAAATTGTGCGCCGGCCGATTTCGAGAGGCGCGGCCAATTCTGGGGGGGCCGCTGGGTGTTGTTGTTCCTCCTTTGCTTTTCGAGCCGCTGTCGTTGTTTGGAATGCTGGAGGCCTTCTGGGTTGTGTTGGAAGCGTGCGAAGTCGCGCGCGCGCGTTGGAAGCTGTTCAGTGCTCTGATCAGGCGTGACCAGATTGACTATATTCAAGAGTCGCATGGGCGTCTCGGGGACGACACTGCTTCCCGCAACGGGCATCCGAATCGCAAACTTTTCCTGGGCCCGCGTCTGGAGAATCTCCCCGGGCACAGGTTCTGGTGTGGATTCAAAGGAGACTGTCAGGGTGTTTCATTGGTTTCACTATGCAGTGCTTACTTCCTAGTGAGGCGTCGTGCGGTCTGGGATGGGACGGGTTTGGCATTCCGGGGGTTGCTGCTGTTCACGTGCCGAAGGTCGATGCGGGGGCTGGATGCTGTCGTCGCTGTCTCTCTATCATCCGCTCTGCATTTCTTCCCGCCCCCCCTGCCATGCGCCTACTCGGAGGGAGCGTCGACCTTGTCTTCAGCGAAGAGGGGGCGCCTTAATCGCGGGGCAGGGCGATCAAGTGGAGACTTCCGGGGTTGGTGGGGATTCTATCGGCGTCGAGATAATCGCAGAGCTTGTCAGGGCCCCGAGGTAATCTCGACTGCCCGTCTTGATCGTTTGTGCGTTGGCGTTCTCCCAGCGGTATTGGTGGATCTGATCGTTACTGGAGCTTTCGCCACAATGCCCGCGAACCTCAAGAACCCGTCCGATCATGTTCTTCCCGTGGTCAATATTGCCCCCAGGGCTTCGGTTTTCTGAGGGTCCTCTCCCGACTTGTGGCTGTGTCATGAAAGCGGATGGCTTTCGTGGCGTTCTGATCGGCAAGATTGGTTCAATCGGCGTTTCTCTAGCGATCTGCGCGGGCTTGGCTAGGGCCCAGTTGGCGATGCGCGAGGCGCGTGCTGAGCTCCAGAAGTCGATGTGGTGCCGTCTGACTACTTCCCCGCGCGAGTTTCTGCGTTGATGTTGCGGCTCGATCTCCGTGGCTCGCGTGCAATTGTCCGTCTTGTTGTTCGGGCCGTGCGCGCCTGCCCTGTGTTCTTTCCCCCCTCGATGCTGATGCTGGCGCCCTTCCCGATCCACTTGGTTCGCGCGCGCGCGCGTCGCTGCGTTGAGCGGCCAACTTTTGAACGATGGAGAAGCGGCCATCTTGCAGGCGAAGGGCCTCCCTGAGCACGAAATGCCGCGCAAGCGTTTGCGGTGGCGCAGTTTGAACAGGTCGGATCGTCTTGTTAACTTATTGCGATGGCCTCCGGCCAGTGCCTCCGATCCGGGGGGCTCCGGGTTCGGTGATCTTCGCGGCTCTGTGGCCTCCTCCCTCCTCGATTCTTTTGGTCCTCTTTCTTCTCCTCTGGGGGGGTGCCTGGGGCGGTCCCGGGGGGGGTCCAGGGAGGGTTCCGAGGGGTGGGTCCTGGGGGCGGTAGCGGCTGGATCTGAGGGGGTCCCTGGGGCTCATTAAGAAAACGCCAGATGGGATTGCCGCCTCCCCCCCGCCTCTCCTTGCCCGGGGGGGTCTGGATGCGGAAATCTTGATGAAAACGCCAGATGGAGGACCCCCCCCTCTTCCCCGGCAGAGCCCGTCCTGGCGACCCCCCCAAGCAGAGCTGAAGCTCTTGCTTAAGCTCGGAGCTGAAGCTCTTGTTGAGTCTCTTTGTATCTCGCGCGCCGGATCGGCGGAATTTTTGCGCGCGCTGGTGTGCCGAGTGCGTCTGCGCAGCATGCCGGCGCCGAGCTCGCTCGCCATTGGGGTTGTATCTTTGCCGCTCGCCTTCCCAATCGTGCTCTTGTTTCTCGCGCCCAGCGTGCAGATGCTCTCGTTCCAGATATATGGTGTGGTCCTCTCGGGGTGGTGGATTTGCCGAGCTAGTCCACCGCGCCTGGGGCCCGATGCCTGGGTCTGATGGTTTGCCCTGCGGTTGCTGGAACTACCCTGGGGCCGTGGGGGCCCCGTTCGTTTCCTGCCCTCATTGTGTCGCTCGCCCTGAAGATCGGAAAGGGAAAGGGAAAAGGGAAATGGGAAAGTGAAGGAAAAGGGAAAGGGAAAGGGGAAGGGAAAGAGAAAGGGAAAGGGAAAGGGAAAAGGAAAGGGAAAGGGAAGGGGAAAGGGAAGGGGAAGGCGAATGGGAAGGGGTAGGGGACAGGGACAGGGACAGGGACAGGGACAGGGACATGGACGGGGACAGGGAAAGGGAAAGGGAAAGGGAAAGGGAAAAGGGAAAGGAAAAGGGGAAAGGGAAAGGGAAAGGGGCGAGGGAAGGGGAAAGGGAAAGGGAAAGGGAAAGGGAAAGGGAAAGGGAAAGGGACTTTCGCGGGGTGCTCGTGGTTCGCCCGGCCATAGGGGATCGCCCGACGGACTCGAGTGCCGTCCCTGCTCGGAAACCCTCATCGACTCATCTGGTCTCGAAGGGATGCGGTGATTGCAAACTCGTGACCACGGCAGCCAGTGACTTTTGAGCATGCGTGCCATTCGCTCTGGTCTGTGTGGCGTCAGGGGTCGCTATATACTAATGACACCATCTCATGGGAAGCAGATGGTTTGTTGTCGGGCCTTCCTGGTCGGCAGGAGGCAGCTCAGCTGTTCAGAGCCGCATTCCCCAGTTTTTTCGCTGGCTAGGTATTATTCGATTCAGAGAAGATGGGCATCCCAGCCTGGACTGTTCGCAATTTCTAGTCTGTGTCATGGCAGCGTTGCCCAGGTTCATTTTTGTGGCGTGATTCTGGCATCCTTGGCGGTGGGTCGGGGGGTCCGTCGGGTTTGCCCGGCTATGCTCCTGTTTGTCTTGGCCCTGGGCCCAGTGTGCTGTTGGCTGAGTGCCGCAATCCCCGTCGGATCCAGTTTTTCTGGTTGCGCTGACGACCTTGGGCTTCTTCTGAACAACTTGTTTGCCGATCTTGGGCCGGTCTTCGGTGAGCTGTGCTTGCTCGCTGATGCTCAGGGGTTTGGGTTGCATTACGGGAAATGTATCGTTCTTGTCTGTGGGCCCGTGGATCTGAGTGCTTTTCAAATGTTTATTGGGAACCTGGGTGGTGGGCGTGAGAAGGCTTCTCGGTCGTGACTCGGCGCGGGTACTTGGGGGCGTCTGTGGCCTCCAACTTGTAGACAGAACGTTGCAGATTATTCGTGCTGGTCCTCGGCGCAGTTTCAGCGGCAAGATGATGGGCAATCTTGGGGATGCATGCTGCGCCGTGCGTCTCAGTTTGTCATGTGGCGCGAGCGTCAGTTTATCACTCTGTTCAGGTGCCCCAATCCTGGCTACGTTGCCAAAGTGACCTGCGGCAGATTCTGGACCACTCGCTGGAGCTGATTCCTGGTCGGTTATCCTGTGGGGGGTTTTGCGAGTTCGTTCCTGTCCTATATGCGCGTGGTGGGTTAGGGGACGCGCTTTGTCGCCGCGCAGATCTGTCCTGGCGACCGAGCGTTCGTAACGTCGCCCAACTCACTCGCGCCCTGAGAAAAGTGGAGCAATCTGGCGCGATGGCTGGCGAACTTCCCCGGGTAATGTTTAATTGGCTTCCCCTTCCCGTCCATCCTGCAGTTCGGCTTCCAGTTTTACAGGTCAAAATGGGTAAGTTTGTCGATGTTTTAATTGTTGCGGTCCTTAAGGTCCTGGACTTCGGTTTCGAGCCGAAGTCCAGTACCCTAAGGACCAGGCGTTGTTTTTTGGTTGTCGCGGTTGCTCCGACGATCAGTTCCGCTGCCAGTGCTGTCGCCATGTTGCCGGTCTCTTCTCGATTTGGGTCCGCCCCCTCTTCCCTCTAGGCTTCGCCTCCCCTTTCGCCGCCCTTCGCTGCGTCGACGGTCGGGGCCGACGCATGGCGTGATGTTCCCCTCTGCGTTCTGGTCGAATCCGTCGTTCACGCCCGCTCTGAGCAGCGGTGGCGGACTTGTCCGTCGGGGACTCCGGTGGAGCGCATCGTGGAAGGCAGGTCTTAAGACTGCCGGTGCAGCGCCGCCCCCGGGGTCGGGCTGCCATTCAACATGCCCGCAATCCTGTGGATCTGTCTGCCCATCTCTTTTCGACCGGAAGAGGTGCGCTCTCCACCCGCGGATCAAACATTGTTTGCCCATCTCTCGCTGCCCTGGCGCTTCTGGCTTGCTCTCGGGCGAGGGGGCCGTTCGGCACCGGGGGCGCTGCCGCTCCTGCCCTGCGGGCCTTCCGCGTGCGCGGGGCCCTGGCACCTTGCGGCTAGTCCGCGCTCTGTCTCTGTTAATTTTCCGCGTTTCTGTATTTTCGGAGGCCTAGAGGTTGACACCAACACCAATATCGGCGGCGTGCTTCACCGAGGGAAGATGATCCCGGTCCAGGTGATGGTGGTAATATTCTGGCTTTCTAGGTGGCCGAAAGATTACCACCAACACCAAAATCCAGGATCATCTTCCTCCCGTGGAGGCAACCCCTGATGTTGGTGTTGGTGCCAATTTCCAAGCTTCCAATATTTGTTCTCGCGCCCCCCCCCATGTGCCCCCTGCTGCTTCTGCCGCCGTCGCCGGTGCTGCTGCCGTGCGCTCCTCCCCGCGGCTCTCCTGCTCTGCCGCTCCGCTCCGCCGCTCTGAGTGCGCTGCTGACGGTCATTGGGCTGCCCTTGGCGGCGGCCTCCTGCTCGTGGGTCCCGATATTGTCTCGGGGGTGGACAGAACCCCCAGCAGTGACACGTCGATTAGTGAATTGTCCGTTTTCGGTTCTCGAGAGGGCGCCGTGGCCGTTATTTTCCAGGCTTGCGCCCGCCAGGTTTGGGCCTCAGGTCGTTTTCACTAAACCGCGTTTTACTAAAGGGGGGTCTGTCCATCCCCGATTGTCGCGGGTGCGTTGGCCCTCGAGGCTCGGATGCGTTGATCTCCGAGCTGTCAGCCCTGCCTCTCGCATCGGCGCTTTGCTGCGAAAGCGTGCCATTCTCTCTCCGCGGCGCGCGCCGCCCGCTGTTCTCCTCTCGGACCACTGCGTCGGCAGGATGCCGCCGCCGCCTTCCTTTTTCGGGGCGGTCGAAGCATCTGTCTGGGGCGCCGCGGGTGGAGCCCCGGTCCCGTCGCCTTGGTGTCGGGTGTTGCTAAACAGTACCCCTGGCCCGAGGTGCCCCCAGGATTCTCGGGGTGGCCCAGGCGGCCGCCAGGGCACCCCTCCCGAGGCCTCGAGGGCCCCAGGGGCTCCAACGTGGAGCGACGAGCTGGGGGCACCTCGGGCCAGGGGTACCTCGAGCAACACCCGATCAGCCGTCGTCGCCGCCCGTGGCGCACAGCTGGTGCGACCAGGGCTGCTGCTGCTCACGTCGGCTCGCCTCCTCGTCTGCCCTCGCCCGTGCGCGGGGTCCTGGCCAGTTCGAGCCTGCCTCCGCGCGTGCTCGCCGCCGCCGCCCGCTTGGTGACTCCCCGACTCTCTCTCTTGGGTGACGGGCCTGGTTTGTGGAGTGATCCCGGCTGGTCGTCTTTCCCGTCTTCTTGCCCCGCGTGCGTTGCTGGCTGTGTCCTTGGCCTCTCCCTCTGGGGACGGTCTGGCACTGATCGCGCCTGCTGCCTGGACTATGTGCCGCAGACGTTGTTTGTACTTGCCGCAGTTTACAACTGTATCGATTGCCACCCAGTTCGTCGCCATCGGCCCGTTTGTTAAAAAAAACACCACCTTCGCTACCGCGGTCTCTATTTCATTTCACCCTCCTGTTCCTCCTTTTCCTCGTCAGCATCATCACCATTATCGTTAGCATATTCAGCATCCTCTGTCTCTTCCGCATCAGCGTCAGCATCGCCAACATCATTGTCGTCATCATCATCGCCATCCTCTCACAAAGTTTCCGTTCTTGCAGTTAGTTTGAAGTCGGGCCTGCCCCACTACAGGGGGAATATTCAAACATAGTTTGGGAACTATTGTTTTGGTGTTTTTTTGATAATTTTGGAGAATTTTTTGAGTACTTTTTATATTTTTCGTCGAAAATCCCCCTGTAGGGGGACAGGCCCGACTTAAAGTTAGTTTCTTCTCTTTCGGCCTCCCCTCGCTCACTCCGATCTGCCTCGTTCCTATCACCTGCCTGACCTTGCGCATGTTAGTCTTTTCCTCCTCCCCAGGGCCCCGCGGGGCTCGTGTGTCTCCGTGGCTTGAGCAGGCCTGGCGCGCTCCGTTCGCTTGCACGGATGGGCTCGGTTGAGGCAGGAGTGGGGGTGGGACGGATGGGCGTAGCAAGGCGCAGCCGCTCAGAGCGAACCAGCACACTGCCTGTTTGGACAGCTGGAGTGCTGGGCAGAGCCAGCGTGAACGCGTGGAGGTCAGCATCGAGTACTCCGACGGTGACGTCTCCGCGGCCACCAAGGCGCCTTACTCCCCACCCACGCGTGCGACGCTGAACAACGGGGGGTCGTCTTCACCGACACTGGCGCGTGAGCTGCCCGCGCGAGGTCGGGCGCGAACGCCCTGGTTTCCAACGCAGCGTGCTTCGCCAGCGGCCCGCGCAGGCCGCGGCGTCGGGTCGCTGTGCCATCGTGCGCCGGACCCGTTCCTTCCCGTCGCCCCCGGGCGTGGACGTGCGGACAGTCTGCCCAGCCAGGAGGCGTACCCGGCCAGAGAGGAAGGGGCGGCGTGGCGGTGGAGGGCTTCCTCGCCCCGCGCCCCTGCGGGCGTCGAAGCGGCCGATCCCGCCGCCGCCGCGGCGGCGACGATGGCGGCGACGGCGGTGGTGACGGCGGCTGCGACGGCGACCTCCTCGCACTGCACCGCCACCGCCGCCACTGCCGCCGCCAGCCGCACTTCGGCCTGGGCCTGAGCCCCCTTCGGCCCGACTCCTCGGCCCCGTGCTCCGCTCGGGCGACGAGGGCCTGCTGCTGATGCCGGCCTCCCCATGTCCCACGGGCTCTGAGCAGCATGCCCTGCACACTCTGTGGGGCAGGGCAAGGTGGCGTCAGCTGCGGCGTTCGCGCGATGGATCGAGCGCGCGGCCACCAGCGCCGCTGTCGGCGACTGGAGCGGCGCGCGCGTGCTCCGGCAGGTAACATCAGCTCCACATACACGTCGACCCCCTGGCCGGGGCCATCCCGGACCCAGGATCGGTGACGTATGCTTCCCTCGTCCAAGCCAACAGGGCACCTACACTGGTCCTGGGGCCGGGCAAGGGCCTGGCCAGGGCCGTGTATAAGTATGTATTGCTGGAGCCCTCGTCCCCCGACCAGCCTTGAGATCCGACATCGCGGAAACGTTGCGGCATCGTGGACGCTCACGACCGGAGCCCCAGGCCTCACCTTCCTCCGGAATCCTCTCGAACTGGATCGATCGGATCGATCCAGTTCGAGAAGATTCCGCGAGGACCCTGGGACCCTCGTGGATCATCCACGAGGGTCTCAGGGTCCGAGGTGGGGTGAAGTCACTGGGTGTGACATCACCCCGGCAAAGCATCCTGGTGGAGGTGAAAGGTCGGGTCGAGGAGCAGGAGGTCGGCGACCGGGGAGAGGTGAGAGCCCGGCCCTGTGCACCGTGGTGTTTCTTCAGAGGGCTCGTGGCCGTCGGGACCAAGAACATAGCCGGCATTCATCTTGGCATCGCTCGGACGTGTGCATTTTTATTTCGGCGAGGACCATCGAGGAGCATCCTTGATCATTTGGCGAAAAGACCACGCACGAAACCGAAAAAAACACAGGGAATGGACGTCCGAGCGATGATGAGTCATGCGAGAGCACGATTCTCGAATGAATCGTGAGAGTCTCAGGCCGAACGGCTGCTGGACCGCCTCCTGACAAGGCTCGGGCCCCCCCCGTCCCCCCCGCGGGAATGATCTGTCGTCCCTGTTAGAACCCTTTCTAGCGAAATCCTATTGGGGAAAAACTGTTCGGGTATATAGCCAGGGCCGCGGGTAAGGGTAGCCGGCCAGTGATGGAGCTCCGGAGCAACCAATGATATTTGAGTCATGAGGCCAGGCTTGCCGTGGCTGGTGCTTCGCGGGTGGGGGCAGTTGTAGTCCGTGTGATGGGGCGGGGGGTGGGCCCCAAAGCACTCCTCGTGAAAGCCAGGTCCTCGGGGGTGGACAGACCTCCTACCGTGACACGTCGATAAAGGAATCGGCCGTTTTCGGTTCGCGAGAGGGCGTCGCGGCCGTCATTTTTGCGGGTCCAGGTCCGTCGGCTTCGGCCCTGGGCCGTTTTCACTAAGGGGAGGTGTGCTAAAGGGAGGTTTGTCCACCGCCGAGGCCACATCCAGCCCAATCCTGCCAGGTGTCCGAAGCTCGCCACCGCCCACGCATGCTTCTTCTACACGTGCGTCCGCCGCGCAGGGTCGACGCGCGGCCTCGGACATCTCAGAGTAGAAGCGCCGTGGCGGGCGTTTTCTGTCCGTGCAGTTGGAGAAGCTATGTGCTGCAGGATTTTGCACTGTACGTATGCTCGGGTCGGACGTGCGTCTCCAACAGAGGCACATCTACCAGTACAGTCGAAACCGATGATTCGGATGGGTCACCTTCCCAAGGGTACCCTTGCATCCTTGCTTCTTCGGCCCATCCTTGACCACTTTCGATGGCCAGCCCCTCTCGAAAAGCTTCGACATGCGCTTCCAAGGGGCTCGCATCCTTCTTACCGCACATCCTTACCATCACTTCGATTGTGCGCCCCATATGCGTCCCAGATTTCGGCCACGCGCAGAGGGGGGCAGGGGGAGGGGAGAAGGCTTCCTAGAAGCACCCCTGCCTCTCAGACGGCGCTGGCCTTGTCTGCAGATGTGAGGCCAGCGCCTTCCAAGGAGCAGCCTCCCTCTAAGAAGCCTATAATTCCGTTTTTAAGACATGCTCCGCGTGCGGATCATGCATTATAAATGCAGGGATTTCGTAGAAAAACAACGATGAGTTCATGCGCAAATCTACTCATGCATTAATCATGTATTAAAATGTCTTTCAAACGGCCCTGTACCCCCCTCTGCGCGTGGCCAGGCCCCGGGACTGTGCCGCCGGGGCCTCCCGGGGAGGGCGGCAGGGCCTCGAGGCGAGCCCGCCCGCGGGGCGAGACCTCCTCCTCGAAGAGGCCCCCCCCCGCCGGCGCAGGGGCCCCGCGGCGGGCCCCCGGCGGGGGAGCGCCCGCAGGGCTTCAGCGGCGACGCGCTCCTCGGCTCCGGCGCCTTCGGCAGCGTGTACCGCGGCACCATGAAGGACGGCACGGAGGCCCCTCGGCGCAAAAGGGCCCGGGTCGGGCGTCGGTGGAGGTTCCCCTTGCCCAAGGAGGCCCCCAGGATTTTTCCGAGGAGGCCACCACGGCCTCCGGAGCGAGAAGCTGGGGGCACCTTGGACCAGGAGCACCTCGAGCAGCCCCCCCCCCCGTCTGGGGCGGCCTGGCCCTGCTTCCGGGGAGAGTCGAACGCAGGAGGAGGAGGAGGAGGAGGAGGAGGAGGAGGAGGAGGAGGAGGAGGAGGAGGAGGAGGAGGAGGAGGAGGAGGAGGAGGAGGAAGAGGGGGAGATGCGTCCAGGAAAAGGCGGCCCGTTCGCGGGAGCGGCACAACGCGTGCGACGAGGTGCGACCTGTGGCCTCGGCACAACCTGCCAGAGGGGTGCCTGCCCGCTCGGGCGCACGAGCTGCATTGGGCCCTTGTTCGGCCACCTGTGGGGAGCAGGCCACCCCCTTCCGCGACGTTCCCCTCGCCCCGCCCCAAGACGTACTCCAGATTTCGTAATAAAAGGGAGGGGGTCTGGACCCTTCAAGACAAGCCATTTCAGACAAACCCTGAGACCCCCCTCCCTTTATTACGAAATCTGGAGTACCCGAGGGGAGCTTGGAGGGTGCCGTCACGCAGGGTGCTGGTCGCAGCATGTGTCGGGCAGGCCGCGCCCGAGAGGGGGGGAGTCGGGGAACAGAACACGACATAAACATACATTTTCGGAGCTCCGCGCGGATGTTGGCGCTGGGACCCCTTGGCGGCGCCTGCGGCGCCGCACCTGGCGCGCTCCGACATGGAGGGGGGCCCGGCGCCGATCCGAGAACTCCGCGCGGACCTCCGAAGGTTTATCTTTTTGTGTTTAGTGGTAATCGGCCCATCCCGCCGCAGTGCCTGGACTGTGGTTCAGAGGCTTCTTGGATGTATGTATATGGGGGTCTCTTGGGATGCCTCTCGGGGGACTTGGAGGGGTCTTGTTGGCTTCTGGGGGGCCTCCTGGGGGCCTCTTGGGGCGTCCTGGGGGTCTCTCGGGGCCTCTTGGGGCGTTTTGGGGGACCTCGGGAGTCTCTGGGGGGGCTCTTGGGACCATCTTGGGGCGGAAGGCTCGAAATGCCCGTTCGTGTTCCCCCTCTTGGGCCCCTCTTGGGGCCCTCTTGTGTGCCTCTTGGGCTGTCTTGGGGGCCTCTTGGGCCGTCTTGGGGCCCTCTTGGGGCGTCTTGGGGCCCTTTTTCAGCTTTCAACGCCCCAAGGCGCGAAGGCTAACATGATTCATTGAGAATTGGGGTGGCCTCTTTGATCTTCTTGGGGGCCTCTGTGGCTGTCCTCAAGCCATCTTAAATATCTGCGGGCGATCTTGAGGCGACTCGCGGCTCTCTTGGGCCGTCTTCGCGGCCTCCTCGGTCCCTCTGGGCCCGTCTTGAGTCTTGGGACCCTCCTGGCTTCCAGAAGACGCACGCGACACCCCAGGAGCTCACAGAAATTCGCGAGAGCGCCAGGGACACGGATGTCCAGGCCCTCAACAATCTGGAATCCTGGCTGCAGCAGCAGCAGCTGCAGTTGCAGCAGCAGCAGCAGTACAGCTGTGAGCCTTGGGGCCCTCCGCTTTTTGCTAAGGGCACGGCGGAGGATTTTTTTTTCTTAAATCCTCTAAGAAGGACCCCGAGAACTTGGCGTCCCAGTTGTTCTCGGGCCAGGCGCTCTCGTGCGGCTTCGGGCCCCAGGACCATGGATCGAGCCGGCTCGAGAACTGGCGCAGAGCGATAGGGTTTGGGGCTCCAGTCGTGATATGGTTCACCCTGTCGCATTTTTTTCGCGCCGTCGGCTCTCAGGGGAAAGCAGCTGCCGTCGGCCGACCTCGTCATCTCCGCCTCAGGGCCTCGGAGCACGCAGGGAGACTCGAGGCCCTCGAGCGCCCGCCGTTCCACCCTGGCTAAGAGCACGGGAGAGGGGCGGAGCAAGATCTCTTGGCGAAATACCATCGCGTCTCGTCGTCGTCGTCGTCCTCCTCCTCCTCCTCCTCTTCCTCCTCCTCCTCTCAGTTCCTGTGTCCAAGGGGGCTCCACGACTGGCGTGCGCTGTTCTGCTGTTCTGTGTCTGTCAGGCCTCCCCACCCTGCGCGGCTCGAAAGAGAGAGAGAGAGAGAGAGAGAAGTGCGGGGCTGGGTATCATCGGGGGGGCGGGACGAGGAGGGGGGGTGCGAGAAGGCCGACGAGCAGGGACTCGCTGCAGCCGGAGGAGGAGGAGGAGGAGGAGGAGGAGGAGGAGGAGGAGGAGGAGGAGGAGGAGGAGGAGGAGGAGGAGGAGGAGGAGGAGGAGGAGAATGAGGAGGGACCCCTTGGGAAGTGGCTGCTGGGACCACCTGCCGCTTCAGGGACTTCGGGAAAGGACAAAGGCAAGGGTAAGAGCACCGACAAAGGGGACAAGTCAAAAGCCAAGCCACCTGCGAAGCCCGCGTCTTCTGGGTATGGATATCTCGGTGATGAACAGTTGCGTGTCTGGCTTTCGATGTCTACGGAACAGTTTGATGCAGCTGCAGCCGTTTTGTCTCAAAGTGCTCGGGACAAGCTCAAGCACATGCGTTGGCGCAAGGCGAATGGGCTCCCTGGGTCGGTGCAGCTGGCTCAGGGCGCTCAGCAGCAGGTGGATAGAAAAGCTGACGAACTACTTCGTGCTGAGGGTGCCTTGCGCAAGGCTAGGGACGCCGCCGTGTCCGCCATGCTGGCCTTCGCCGAGGCCAAGGAGCGGAAGGCCACAGTCGAGGAGGAGCTTGCCGCGCTCAAGGCCGAGCGGGACCGTCTCGCCGTGGTGGGCGTCGACGCACCGCAGATGCCCAAACCGTCTGGTTTTGAGGCCGCTCGCCAGGTGGTGGCCGTGCTGTAGGGCCATCCAGGATGGGAGGCGCAGGTCGGCGCTAACCTCGCCGCGCCGCTCACCGCGCTGCTCCAGGCGGTGGCTTTGCAGACCCCAGCGGCCCCATCGGGTGATGCGGCGGACGCCGACGAGGGGCCTGCTGCGGGAGCCGTCGCAGCCATGGCACCTCAGCAGGCGCCAGGCGGCGCCGCGATCCACGCGTCCGACAACGACGACATCGTCTGGGACGAGCTCCTGCGCGAGCAGGACGCCCACATCGGCGGCATGCGCGCGCCAGACGCGGAGAAGCGTCGGGCCATCGTGGCGTAGCTCCAGGCGGAGTTTGCCAGCAAGCGGGCGCGTGCTGTTCATGACGTGGGCGAGGCTGCTCATGTCGGGTCTTCTTCCTAGCGCAGTTAGAGGAGAAGCGCGCCGTCTTCCAAGCCAAGTTTGTGGGGGGGGGGCGCCCTGTGACATCACCTGGGAGTGCAACCAGGTGGACGCTGAGTGGGCGACGGAGTCGGGCAAAGACGCGGACGCGATCCGCCAGGAGTGGAAACGCGGCGTGGAGATGTATGGCGTCAGCGGCCTCAGGATAGCGCGATGCCAACCCGCGCGTGCTGGCGATGCAGCGCGGAGAAGTTCTTCAGCGCCGACTGGGTCATCGGCGTCGAGCTCTTGGATCGGGTCGTCTGTAGGAGAGGCGCAGCCCCTGGACCGACAAGGCGGCGGCCCTCTGGGCAGTAACGCTGCCGAGTCGGGACAGTCGGGAGGCGCCGCCGCTCCTGCCGCTGGACCGCGTCTCTCTGGGTCAGGGCGTTGGGGGCAGCCGCCTGCTGACATTGCCCCAGGCTCAGGTGACGATGTACACGGATTCCCCCTTCGTGAAGGTTTCAAACCGCCAGGCTGCAGCGGCCAGGCGGGGGGGGGGGAGCGACGGCCAGCCCCCGCGCCTCCCAGGGGAGGTCGTCGACTGATGCTCAGCCTCCTTCGGGAACGTCAGGCCCAGTGTCGGTGGACGGCTTCCAGCGCGTGTGCAAGCGGAAAGTTTTGACAGTGAGCGTGAACGCCGACTCCAGTTTCGCACTTTTGTTGGAAATGGATCTAGTTGGACAGGCCGATCTGATTTTCGCGCAAGAAACCCGCCGGGGGCAGCGCCACGGCGACGACGCAGTCGGCAAGCTCGTCAAAGCTGGATGGCATGCTTTCGCTCTTCCTGCTGTCGGGTGTGAGCATGGGCTACCTGGTCAGGCGGGCTGCTCGCGCTTGCACCTGCTCGACGTGGCCTGGGGTTCGTCGAAGATGGTAGATCGGCCATGATCGCACCGGGAAGGGCATCACTCTCATGTCACTCTGGGTTTGCGAAGCAAGGCATTGTTGTGGTGAATGTTTATTTGCATGCGGGCCAGGGTGTGTCACCTGGCAATATGAGCCTCCTGCTGGACATCGCCGAGCGCGTGAGAGGCATAGGCAAGCCCTTCGTCATCGGGGGTGAGTTGAATGCAGCAGGTATCTTCGAGTTTCTGCCGTGCTCGGTGTGGGCCCCGCAGGTGGGCACGTGTGCACCAGCGTGTCGTGTAATTGATTTCTTTCTTGTCTCCAGCCACCTCATGCCGACCCAGGTGCAGACGGAGCCGTCGATCCCAATGAGTCCCCATGCATCTGTATCCTTGGAGTTGAAGTCGGGTTTGTGCCAGCCGTGGATGCGCGCCATTCCCGTGCCGCGGCCCTTCCCTGTCGTTCGCCCGTCAGGATGTGCATCGGCCGATTTCAACGATATGTGGGAGCATACTCGTATGAGTATGCCCACGGGATCAGGACGAGAGGGGGCTTATCCAAGGGTTGGGAGATGTTCGTCGGCGCCGCGGAGCAGGAGCGGTGTGATGTCTACCAGGTGTCGGGCGGCCGCTCGAAGCATCTCGGCAGAGCGCATGTCCCTCGTCCCAGGTGGGTTCGTTCTCAGCCTCCCCTGCCGCCGAAGTTCCCGAAGGTGTCCCCCGAGGCCATCTGGTTGCGCAAGTTGGGTGCCTCGATGACGTTTGCCGCTCAGGTGGCGCAACCTATCACGCGGGTCAATGCGCTTCGGGCAGTAGGCAAACTTGCTCGGGTTGTTCCTGGGTGTGTTCGACTGGGTGGCCCTTCCATTGGCAGCCTCTGGTGGGC